TTCTCCCCGTCTCATACCTTGCTGCATATGCAAGGTATAGCAACAGTGTCTTTAGTCTGGGGAGTTCAAATTGTTACATTTCTATGCAATCAGATAACACAGGGAACCAGATTTTTTTCAAATTAAACTCGCAAGTGGCTTATTGTGCACTTGACGTCATAGACGTCACTTACTGGGCCAGTGGCAATGTTCCTACACAGACTATTGACCAAACACATCCACTTTTATTTAGTACATGTACTTATGGAAGATTACCAAAGCCCCTAGGATGAATGTAAAATCATATTGAAATTGGAGGATTTGGGACTTTTAGGGTTAATGCAGGAGCTGATTTTGATTACTGTCCTTCAGCGACAGTGAATGACATTTTCAGTTTTACCGTTGATGACCTGTCTGAGAGGCCACAGGTGATAACATCACCACTTTTCACCGGCCCAACACCAGAGGGTGTCCCAGTCAGCACCAGGTCGCCCTCCTGCAGAGTGATGTAATGACTGATGTAACTGAGGAGTGCAGGGATCTTGAAGATCATGTCCTTGGTGTTCCCATCCTGTCTTGTCTCACCGTTGACCGCTAGCCACAGCCGGAGGTCGTGGGGGTCAGTCACCTCGCTCCGATCCAGGAACGCACTGACGGGGCAAGAGGTGTCAAACATCTTGGCCAGCGTCCAGGGAGCCCCCTTCCTTTTAGCCTCGTCTTGGAGGTCCCGAGCTGTCATGTCCAGTGCTAGGGCATATCCTCCAACGTGGTCCATGGCCACAGACTCGGGGATGCTGCTGCCGGGGCGGGACACGACCACGCCCAGTTCAACTTCATGGTGCAAGTTGCTGCATCCAGGAGGGGCCTGTCAGATCATGCAAAGCAACAGAAGGAAAAACCACAAAATCTCAGTTTTCAAGTTGTCAGCATCGTCTTGGCTAGGCTTATAATCTGTAAAGATGGTGTCCAAAGCTCATTCCCGCATAAATCATTCAGAGTGTCTCTGATAAGCCATGCATGACAGAGCATCATTGAGGAGATGCCATTTGAGTAAGTGTAGAGTAAACTTCCAACTATGGGAATGGATACATTAAATACATTTAGCATACCAGCCTAATGGCAGTGTTTTTCATCACATGGTTTTTGGGGGGATGGGGGCATTGATGTTACGAAACAGATGTCAACCACAAAGCACAGACTGCCAATCAGAATCCACCACTATATAGGCTTACCCTGATTGGTTTTCCCTCTGTGATAAACGCCGTTGTTGGTTTCAAAAAAATGATGGGCTCTGCTGGTAAAACGTTCCCCAGCTCTGCTGCATGGGCACTGCAGAAAAGGAGATCGGAGCAGATTCAATCGTAAATTAAAGCAAACTGGGTTTAGTTTAAGTAGTTTTGTAAACCAAAAATTTGGAGCTGTATGGATTATATGTTGGCTACATGATCACTGCACTGTTTAAGCTTCAGGGGTGCATGGTGGAGTCCTTCAACATGGCGTATATCAACGTTTCCCTCAACATTCCTCATGCAGTGTTGCCAAAATCTCTTTACTAAAAACTTCAAATTCATTCAGATAAATACACGTACTGGTGTCCCATAATACATGTACATGCCATCAAACCTTTGCATGGTGCTTTGTGTACAATGCACAAGCAATACAGTTCAGGGCCCAACTTCACAGCGCTGCTCAACACATGATTTGATACGGACACAGCATATATGTATTTCATGGAGACTGTAAGCAGTAAGCATTGCAAAAGGCATGCTTACCTTGGAGGAAAAATTTGCTTCACACAAGCGACAAAGCAATGGAAATCTTCATATGTGCAGGCAACTGTATGCATGTTTATTTACAATTTGCAAAAGTTTCTGCTACAGTAAGCATGAATTCTCTGCTAACTGTTAAGCAGCCCATGAAATAGGGCCCAGATTTTAAAGGAATTGAATTGGTCTCTGGTCGCCGGGCTCTAGCTTGTGGTCTATTGGTTGAGATGTGCTGTGCAATGCAAGGATTGTCAGATTGTGGGTTGGAATCCTACCAGACATTTCCTGCAGGAATTGGTTTCCCTGCAGGACTCAGGAAAGCAGTACAGGTGCATATTCATCACATGGAAGTGTTGGAAAACAGTCGAGGATACCGGTACCAGTGCATGCGTATGTCAAGGTTTTTCCCATAATAATTAGCCCTAATTTGCCAAATACATATGATGTTTTTGAAAGAAAAACCTGGAAAACAGCCCCCATCCGTGGCATGTCAAGCACATGCATGTACAGAACTACATGTATGAAGGAATTCAGCCAATCATGGCCAAATCTTGTTGCCCCCCCGAGCTCCCCTCTCAATGTTGTGTATTGTTGTACAGTCTGTGCTGCAGTTGGAGATACATGTAAAAAAAAAAAAAAATCAAACTCGCTGGCCACTTGTTTGACATAAACAAAGGGGCCACAATATTTTAGGGGCTAGAGACGTGAAGGGGGTTCAGTATAACTCAGAGGGACAGGTTTAGGGGACAGTTACTGGTATAGTGCACCAAAACTCCAAGAAAACAACACCAGCAAACAAAAGCAAGGATGTCAAGACTGTGAGTAAGACTTTTGATTTCATTCTCTTCCCCCAATTTCATCATGAATGAGCTCAAAGCTGCATTCAGTTGTTAATTTGCCCCACAACATCAAAAGCTGGATGCACCGCTGCTCGGAGACTGTCCACAAACTCGGAGAAGTCTCTTTATTCAGAGACAAAATCAGTCCCGAAAAGAGAGAATGTCTCCCAAAAGTTTGAAAATGGGAAAAAATTTTTTTAAGTGGGCTTTGGGATCCTACCATTGCCTTGGGGATCCTTTAATGCTATAATTGGATTCAGCAAAGGAAAACACCCAACTTCTAGGATTACAAGCAGGCGTCTGTAATGGGATATAATACATGTACATAAAGACCATGTATCAAAAGAATTTTTCCAAATATCAATCCTTCACTTACAGGTACAAACAGCGAGTGACATGGTGACAAATTCCTAAAAAAAAAACTTAATTAAAAAACTTGTGTGTATGGAAACTACATGTATGCGGAAAAAATGCTAATAGCACACATGTGCATGATGTTGATCCTATCCCATTTGAAAAAAAAAAAAACGAATCAACCACGTGGTGATGGAAGTCTCCACATACATTGTATTACAAATATGGTTCTAACATTTTTTCCAATAGGCCAATTTGGCAAAGATTCCTCACCCCAGGAATACATCACAAGCCAGTAGACTCCCATTGGCCAAACCCTAACCACTGCAAAAATGGTTTTCCACTGTTTGAGGCATTTAGAGCGAGCGGATTACCACCAGGGACAAAAGCTCTCTACTACCGCAGTGATGAACCACACAGCACCGCTGCACGCTAATCTGGCCCCTATTGAAAAGAGGTCAGCAGTGCACTGTGCCAGTTTTGGTAACAAAAGAATCTTACATAGCACCGCACAATCTGGGCTCTTTTTCCAAGGCTGCTGGCTTGGCTGAAATATTCAAAAGTCAATGAAGGTTAACTGTCAGCTTTAGAGTAGTGCCCAAAGAGTCCTTCATGTGGGTATAAACGGCCATTAAATGAAATGATTAATTTATGAAGAATTTTGAAAACGGAAAATCTTGAAAAGGACCCGGCATCTTGTCTTGCTCAAGAAAAATCCACCTGGCAGCAAGGACAGTCTCCAAGTTCCTATGTGTGCCTCAATCTACTGACAGCTTTTATGGGTGGCAAAAGGCAGAAATGTAACCTTTTGGTTGCTTTTTCAAGTTTACCCCTAATTCACTCAAAATGGACGTTTACCTCATTGATTTTATATAGGGTAATATTTTCTATTATTTTTTATAGTACATTTATTACTAATGTGCTCTGATATCTGCATGGGATTTTTAACACTTTAGGAATTAACTATTCTTTCACTTTTGTGCTGACCAGTCCGACAGATATCCCATGAACGTGGGAGTGTGCGGCAGATGTCCCCCTCCCCTCAAAGTTTTTAGGGTAGCCAACGGCTAACCATAGTTTTAGCAGATACCTGTGGCAAAACAGCAGATCCTATAACATTTCACAAGACAATGACTAAGCAATGTACAATGTAGGTCTACTCCAAGAACTGTGGGTCCATTGTCTGCCACACTCAGCGCGGTGGAATACCCTACATGCAGACCTGCCAACCTGGCCGTACTCTTTCCTGAGGTCAGGCATTACAATAGATTAAAAGGTATTTAAATGAGCCTTCAGTTCATTCAAAAATTTAATCTACCGTGTGGTAATACCTGACCTCAGGAAGGAGTACGGCATATTGGCAGGTCTGTACATGCCTATGTGTACGACCGTTGACCGTGGAGGAACTTCCTCCATGGTACCAGGAGACTACAAACCTGGGCAAAATTGATGGGACACTTGGCAATATACCCATACACTCTCCAGTAAGTGACCTGCCCCCACTCCCTAGTCAATGTTGTCAAGTCAAGCCGCAGTGCAGACCACATGCAGAGACCCAACATTGAAAGGGGGTCTGGGGGTTGGAGGCCCAGTGAGATTTGTCCATGGTTGTCTGAATTGGTTCAAAGTTGTGTACATGTGCATACCGTGCCGCCCCAGGAGGTATTGTGTGGCATCATAAACACAGGTTGAAACCTATGAAGATATTTACAGCCAGATTGTACAATTAAAGAAGCACCTCTATTTTCGGATTGTGTAACCACAGCAAAGTGTGAAATTGGGAAGTCCTATGGGGAAAAGAATCTAAAGTAATTTAGGGGGTGCAATTTCAAGGCACGATGTGTGCTTTGTAGAGTATACATGTTTGTAGCAGTGTATCGTTTACGATGCACCACAGCATTTTTTTTTGGGGGGGGGGTTCTGTACAAAATAGATTACTTTGTAAACATGAAGTGTCCCTTTGGGTCTGGACACACCATAAATTCATGTGGGATCTCTGTTTTTAGTTATTCCATCATTTTGTTGAGAAGTGTATTGATGATCAGTGAAAACCGTCAAAAAAAAGAGGGGGCAGGGAAGACTCAAATTTAATGTGCTGTGGCTCAGGGTTGGCAATGTGCCTTGTATGCATCGCATGCCCGTGCCCTATTTAATTGGGCGTACCCGCGCTCTGTGGGTTGAGGGTGGAGAAGTGCAGTAATGACATTGCTTGTGATGTTTTGAGGGTCAATTCAGTGCATTTGATGTTTGAATTGGCCGATGCTGGAAATGGTTTGCACTCTACATGTAAGTTACAAGACCCTCCCTACACACACATACAGCCTAATGTTACAGGCATTTGTAAACTCAGACAATCCTGGACAAAATTGTTGGGACACCAGTAAAACAGATATACTGTACACCCTGCAGCGACATCCGATCCCCACACCCAGCTTAATGTTGTCATGTCTAACCAGAGTGCAGACCGCGCGCATATACCCAACATTGAATGGAAGGGGGTCTGGGGTTGGATGCCCACGAGATTTTTCCGGGCATGAAACTACTAATACTATTGTACACGGCTAGTACATGTACATGTACGTGGTAGGCCTACGGCTAGCCGACACTGTAACTGTAGTGTACATGTATGTAGGCCTAGTGGAAATTAGCCATGCGAAGACACCATATTTCAAAATTCTGCGGAGGCCATGGAGTAAAAGGACTGCAGACTATACTTTCAGGCCAGTAATTTAAATTGATGAACTTGGTGAGGTTCTTACGCATAATTACGGCCTACACATATGATCTTCCGTCCGGTTTCCACAAATCGTGACACACTGGGAGCGGCCATTTTAGGATAGCGTGGTCTCCTGTCGAGCCGCTATTTAAGTTATGATCCATAATTTAAATTAAAACTTTAATGGCAGGGGCGGATCCAGGATTTTCTGAAGAGGGGGCGGGTAGTCGTGATCCCGGATTTTTAAAAGGAAGCGGGGGGGGGGCGTGAACGAAAGCAGCAATGGTAATATTCACACGAGCAGGAAGCCCTGTCGATCCAGCTACCTGTTTTATTTCTCCATGCCTGACCACCGAAACGTGTACAACGTAGAGACAACGACTTTGGGGTAAAAGTAAGAGGCGTGACCGACTCAAACTGATCTTTTTTCGCCGATAACTCTCTAAATTTTTAGAATATGGTCATGAAACTTGTACTGGTGGATAAAGAAACATATTTCCTTATAGATGACACCACGATTGGCCCATTTAGACAATTTTCAGATATTCTGAGCTGGGAAATATCGAATGCCTGACTACCCCAACCGACAGCGTATCGCACAGACAAGAGGGAAATCACAGTAGGAAGCTTGACCGACACAAACTCGACGCCTCTCCCGTCAATAATTCTCTAAAATATCAAAATATTGTCATGAAACTTGTACCAGTGGATATAGAAACATATATATTCCCTTTCTGATGACACCACATTTAGCTCAAAGTGTAACAATTTTCAGATTTTCTAAGCTCAGATATAGAGGGTCTATCTCACTCAGAAAACACGTAGTCTATCCTATAGACAATTGTAAAAACTCGAAATATACGAGATGTGACCAAATGATACTTCTAGCTGACCAAAATACGGCCATGACGTTTGTAGCAGTACATGGAGGAGCCTGTTCCCTTTTAAATACAATTGGAGCATTTAGAGAATTTGTGGATTTTCTAAGCTGGAAAATAGGTCTTGTCTGTCTAAAAAAACACAGCCTAATTAACGTACAGACAATCTCGAAATACAAGGTGTAGCCAATTCAAACTGTTTCCTTCTCTCCAAAATAATTCTCCAACCCATCAAAACCTGGTCATGAAATTTGTACCACTGGATAGAAAAACATATTGTCTTTCAGATGACACCAAGATTGGCTCATTTGAAAAGTTTTGGGATCTTCTACGATGAGATATACAGAACCTACCCAAGGAAACGACGTGCAGCGTACATTACAGACAATGCGGGAAATGAGAAATAGCAAGCTTGACCTAGCTAAACTCTTATCTTCTTTTCAATATAATTCTCTAACCTGTCAAGATACGGTGCTGAAACTTGTACCTCTGGATAGAGAAGCATTTTCTCTTTCAGATGACACCACGATTGGCTCATGTGGACTGTTTTTGGTTATCCTAAGGTGAGGTATATAGAGCCTACCCAACGACCCAACGCACAGCGTACAGACAGAAAAGGCGGGAAATGAGAAGTAGCAAGCTTGACCAAGCTAAACTCTTATCTTCTTTCCAAGATAATTCTCTAACCTGTGCAGATATGGTCATGAAACTTGTAGTACCAGTGGATTGAACAACATATTCTCTTTCAGATGACACCAGGACTAGCTCATTTGGAAAATTTTGGGATTTTCTAACCTGAGATATAGAACCTACCCGACGTCCCAACGTGCAGTACAGAAAAGCCGTTAAACGAGAAATAGCAAGCTTGACCAAGTCAAACTCTTGCCTTCTTTCCAAGGTAATTCTCTAACCTGTCTAGATGTGGTCATGAAACTTGCACCAGTGGATAGAACAACATACTCTCTTTCAGATGACACAACGATTGGCTCATTTGGAAAATTCTGGGATTTTCCAAGCTGAAATATACAGAGCCTACTCAAGGAAACGACGTGCAGCGTACGGGAAATGAGAAATAGCAAGCTTGACCAAGTCAAACTCTTGCCTTCTTTCCAAGATAATTCTCTAACCTGTCAGGATATGGTCATGAAACGTGTCCCAATGGATAGAGCAACATATTTTCTTTCAGATGACACCTCAGTTGGCTCATTTGGACATTTTTGGGATTTTCTAAGCTGAGATATATAGATCCTACCCAACAACGAAACGTGCAGCGTACAGTACAGACAATGCAGGATATGAGACATAGCAAGTTTGACCAAATCAAACTCTTGCCTTCTTTCCAAATAATTCTCTAACCTGTCCAGATATCGTCATCAAACTTATACGAGTGGATAGAACTACATGTTCTCTTTGAGATGACACCACAGTTGGCTCATTTGGACATTTTTGGGATTTTCTAAGCTGAGATATATAGAGCCTACCCAAGGAAACTACGTGCAGCGTACGGGAAATGATAAATAGCAAGCTTTACCAGGTCAAACTCTTGCCTTCTTTCCAAGACAATTCTCTAACATATCAAGATATGGTTTTGAAACATGTACCAATGGATAGAACTACATATTCTCTTTCTAATGACACCAGGACTAGTTCATTGGGACAATTTTGGGATTTTCTAAGCTGAGATATATAGAGCCTACCGAAGGAAACGACGTGCAGCGTACGTGAAATAAAAATAAGCAAGCTTTACCAAATCAAACTCTTTCCTTCTTTCAAAGATAATTCTCCAACCTGTCAAGATATGGCCATGAAACTTGTACCAGTGGATAGAACTACATATTCTCTTTCAGATGACATCAGGACTAGCTCATTTGGACATTTTTCGGATTGTCTGAGCTGAGATATATAGAGCTTACCGAAGGAAACGACGTGCAGCGTACGGGAAATGATAAATAGCAAGCTTGACCAAGTCAAACTCTTGCCTTCTTTCCAAGATAATTCTCTAAAATGTCAAGATATGGCCATGAAACTTAAACCAGTGGATAGAATTAGACATTTTCTTTCAGATGACACCAGGTCTAGCTCATGTGGACAATTCTGGGATTTTCCAAGCTGAAATATACAGAGCCTACCCAAGGAAACGACGTGCAGCGTACGGAAAATGAGAAATAGCAAGCTTGACCAAGTCAAACTCTTTTTTTCCCCAAGATAATTCTCTAACCTATCACAATATGGTCATGAAATTTGTCCCAGTGGATAGAGCAACATATTTTCTTTCAGATGACACCTCAGTTGGCTCATTTGGACATTTTTGAGATTTTCTAAGCTGAGATATATAAAGCATACCCAGGGAAACGACGTGCAGCGTACAGGAAATGATAAATAGCAAGCTTGACCAAATTGAACTCTTGCTTTCTTTCCAAGATAATTCCCTAACCTGTCAAGATATGGCCATGAAACTTGCACCAGTGGATAGACCAACATGCTCTCTTTCAGATGACACAACGATTGGCAATTTTGGGATTTTCTAAGCTGAGATATATGGAGCCTACCCAAGGAACTGACGTGCAGCGTAGAGGAAATGATAAATAGCAAGCTTTACCAAGTCAAACTCTTGCCTTCTTTTCAAGATAATTCTCTAACCCTCCACGATATGGTCATGAAAATTGTACCAGTGGATAGAACAACATATTTTCTTTCCGATGACACCACAGTTGGCTCATTTGGACAATTGAGGGATTTTCTAAGCTGAGATATATAGAGCCTACCCAAGCAAACGATGTGCAGCGTACAGTACAGACAATGCAGGATATGAGACAGAGCAAGTTTGACCAAA